ATGAATTACTGAAATAAATGGACTTTTCCACGATATTCTAATTTATTGAGCTGCACCTGTATATCTGTGAGGTGGCCAAAAACACACTGTGTCTAGTAGATTACATAACTGCTCTCAAACATGTTTGCCATAACAAGTTTTAAAGGTGTTAATAGGTCAAATGTTGTGTTTCTGCTGTTTCCAATAGTCAAAAAAGTAAAAGCAAGGCAAGGAAAAAAATGCCGCTTGAGCTTTAATTTATAAAATGTTCTTTTTAAAGTATATTCTAATAATATATATTTTTTTTTGTTTAAGGTCACTTAGTTTAATCAATTAGTACCATAACAAATGATTATAAATTTTATTATCCATTAATCTGATGAACTTTTGTTAAATTCTAAATGTTTTATTTGGAAAATGTCATAATTCAAACACTAGTTTCCTACCATTTATGATGAGGAAAAGCAACAAATTCTCATATTTAGGATTCTGTTTTTGCTTAAAAGACTTCAGTAATAAGTGATTATCAAAATAGTCACAGATTAATTTTCTCCCAACCAAATACTTTAATCATTTCAGATCTTATTCCACCCAAACCTAGCTTGTACACCTCTTCACTAGTCAATGTTCAAAAGCTGAGAAAGTGATGTAAGAAATTCTTACAAATATACAGAATCAACAGGCAAATAATGATTCCACATGCATAGCACAGTCCCACCGTGGCTATTTCTCTGAGTAATCACAGTAGCCTCTCACCTTTGTGTCTTCACTAAGTGTGAACATGCTTCATTTCTATTCTGGCTGAATTTTAATGGATTTTAAAACAGGCTTGCACCCTAAGGGCTTGCACCCTGGGTTTCCTCAGGTGATTTATGCCAAACAGTCTTATTATCTTGGACCGTGTCCCAGTCATCAACCTACTGACGGCTTGTTTTCACACATTCAGCCCCTTGCTGTGTTTCTGTTTAGATTTGTCAAGCATCTACACAGGTGGCCAGCTTCCCGTCCATGCTGGCATTTTATATCAATGCTTATTTCAAGCGGTTTTTCTTGGTAAATGCTGTGCTAGCACACGCCTGGAAAACATGCAAGTGTGAACAGTACCGGTTACAGGCTGCTCGTTCAGGTAAACAGTGGCGATTTGTGGAAGGAGCCAGCAGACATCCAGGATACTCTAATTCAGCCGTATTTATCAGTACTTGTTCCACTGTTGCAGGCATAGCTCCCCCGAGGCACTCTGGGTAGGTTAACAAACTCCCTGGGATTGGTGGAATCTAGCATGGGTCACTGCTGACTAGACTTCCTGGTGTTCCTCAGGGGCTTTTCATCTTGTCATCCAGTGGAGAAGGTTGATTTTAGGCAG